GTAACCAATCAAATTCTAACTGGCCTTATGGTCTGCTTCATAAGAAGGGACCCATGCTTGTCACTGATATTGAGCCTAGGAACATTTGGCTAGACAGGCCACAAGTCATAGGCCATAGGGGAAAGTCTAGTACTACTATTCTGTTAAACAGATATAGTATTAAGGGAATAATGATTTATTATTATACCCATAGATTAATGTATCACTCAACTTTCACCAGAGAAGCTTCTTTCTACAGTAGATGGTGATTAACACAGAACCCACAACTAGCCAAAGTGCAGAGAATAAGAAATTGCAGAGTGATTATCCCTGAATTGGACGCCTATATCAAACTTCTGCTTCCAAAGGCTCAGGGAACATTGCAGAAGGTGGTAGATGAACACAAGGAAACACAGTATTTTAGGCAGCTGGTCAGTGACTCATATGAACCCACAGCAATGGTGACAGCATGAACAAGTACCATGTAGGCTCAAGCCGGACAAAATCCCAGCATAAATGTAGGTAAGAAACCCTAACCCTACCTGAGGAACTGCTGGAAACCAATGGCTGCTGGGAAGTGGGGAGTCAGTCTCTTTTAAGAGTGTGACTCTATGTAGGTTAATTGGGCTCCACTGCAGGGACCCACACTGAAGGACATTTGGGGACATAAATTTGATTCTAAAAAGGTGGGGGATAGTATAGTAAGGGGGTGCAGATAGGAAATGGAATCTAAATAGGATCAAACTATATTATGTGAAATTCACAAAAAATTCAATTAAAAAAGGGAAACATCTTTATATAAAATAACATAATTTGGGATCTTCTTTTGCTTGGCCTATGTTTGTATATTTCATCTGTGTTGTTGGATAGTTGCCACCAGTTCGTTTTCACGGATTCCCAATGCTCTACTGCCTGACTATTATTGATTTTCATCTTACTAAACTATTCTATTTTAATATATTTTATTTATCATTTCTATTTTATGTGTATGAATACTGCCTACACGTAAGTAAGTGCTCTTGTGTTGTGCAATGCCTGCAGAGATCAGAAGGGGGCATCGGATCTCCTAGAACTGGAGTTACAGATGGTTGTTAGCTGTCATGTGGGTGCTGGTAACCAAACCCAGATCCTCTGCAAGAGCAGCCAGTACTCTTAACCACTGAGCCATCTCTCCAGCCCACCATTCTATTTTTGATGAACATAAGAATGGTTTACCATTTGATGACAAGGCCTAACCACTCATCAATCATTAGGCCAATATCCTGTAGAATCATTCTGACACCTCTTACTCATAAAGATATCAAAATTTTCTGATTCTACAACCTACATCTTGTCCCAGTCTCTCTTCTCTACATCTCCAGATCCATAATGCAAGTTTATTATCCAGGGACTTTGTCCAGGTTGTTCATCAACACGATATAAATATAGGATAGTACACTAGTGAAGCCCTAGATTCTGAGTCTAAGTACCTGAATTCAAACCCTGGCTTTGTCATTTGCTACCTGTAGAAGTATGCATCCGTTATTCAATCTCTTTTCCTATTTCCTTGTTTAGTTTGAAGATAGGTGGATGGATGGATGGATAGATAGATAGTCTGAGACAAGGTCTCAGTCTATAGCCCAGATAGTCTGGCACTAATTTTGTATGCCAGATTATCCTCAAATTCACAGTGATCATCTTGCCTCAGGCTTCCAAATGCTGGGATTAGAGGCATGGGCTACCACGTCTGGACAGTTTCCCCAATTCTAAAACAAGAGTGATAGTGGTGCCCCTTTATAGAGTTGCAGTGAGGATTAAATGAATGAACGCATGCAAGATGCTTAGGAGACAACAGGGCATATACAAGGTGCTCAATAAATGTTGCCTGTTAATAGTCTATCCTATAACCAAGCATGCTCAGTTCATAAAAATGGGCTGAGAGAAATTCTGAATGTCACTGCTCTAGTTCCGATCCATCATCTTTTCTTAGACAACTGAGTTGCTTCCTAACTAGGTTAGTTTCCTTCTGAAGAATATGAACGTCAGAGGTCATACTATTGCTTTGCACAATCCAGTGGCTCTCCCACCCCAAAGGAGCTGGAGCACACTCCAAACCACTCATAAGTGCCTGGACCTGCGATCTGGCTCTGCTATCTTCTCTTCATCCACCCCCCTTTCTACCACTCACACCTACTCACTCAACTAGCAGGTCTTCAAACTAGCCCTATTCCTTCATGCTTTTTCCTGGCCAGAATGTCCTCCTTCTGTCCAACTGATAAAATTGTCATTGTCTGTGGCCCGCAGCCACTACATCATCCAGTCGTCAGTGGAGGGTCTTCCAGGCAGAGTTATAGCCATATGATATTGTAGCATTTATCGAATTACCTGATAACTATTTGTTTGCATGTCCAACCCCCTACGGGGCTGCAAGCTCCTTGATATCGAAAGCCAGACCTTATTCAGATTCAAGAATTGAAGAATTCAAAATTTCAGGAAGCACAAGGTCTAGTGGAAGCTTACTATACAGTTGCTGATGAGATGGGTGTTTCAGGAAGACCCTAATAAACCTTGGGTTTTGTGCTTCCCTGAATCTTGTTTTGGTTGTTACTTTTAAAATATAAATAGTTGGGATGGCTCAGTGGTTAAGAGCACAACCTACTCTTGCAGAGGATCTGGGGTTGTTTCCCAACACCCACATGACAGCTAACAACTGTCCGTAACTCCAGGGGATCCAATGCCCTCTTCTGACCTCTGTGGGCATTGTACAAGACAGGTTGCTTACATACATGCAGGCAATACATGCAAGCAATACATGCCTACACATAAACTATAGTCACTAATACTAATGTCACAAGCTGATTGAGTCATAATTTTAAAATGAGGAGCGCTAAAAGCATTTGCTCTTTCATTCGTTTACCAAGAAATTTATTGGGAAACACTTATCATATACTAGATGTGAAGTGAGAACTCAGACATAACTCCATCCTCAGGAGGCTTACAGTCTTTAAGTCTATCAGTTTGAAGAAGAGACTGACCTTGATCTTGAGCACATCAACACAAAATCAAGGACTGAAATGAGAGTTGTGAAGGGGAAAGAACTGGTTGCAAGGAGAGAGGATAACTATGAGATATAGATGTGCCTTGACTTAACGTGGTGTTATATCTTAATAACCTATTGTAAATTCAAAATGTCCTAAGTGGAAAATGTACTTATTTAATATAACCAACCTACCAGGCATCATAGCTTTGGAAACAGTATGCCACAGGGTATGGGCTGTTTGCCCTGTACCAAACACTCTCCCTCAGTCCCACTGACAGAAAAGGGACCCACTAGGCTTGCCTTAGCAAGACTCATTAGGTCAGAATGTGGGGCTAAGGTCACTACCTCCTGAGTTCCCTTACAGACCACCCCGCCAACTCTACCATACATAACACCAGGGTGTGCTCACCTCCTCCTTCGGGTGGGCAGGGAGGTGGTTTCATCCCTTTGCACTCAGCCCCTTGAGAGCTACTTGAGGCAATTTGTCACTCGGGCTTCAAGCTGCCAGCCAGAGAGGAGAGCTGAGAAGACTCTATAATAAGATCTTACGTGGTAATTAAGTGCCAGGCTTTGTTTTAACCTATCTTCCCTGCTCCACTTGATCATATCGCCAGGATCTGTCAGGCAGTGAGTGGGGAGTGTGAGTCGCCCTGGGATTCCACCTCAGCTACTAGAAGTAGCTGTCATCTCTGTCCAACCCCCCATGTCTTCCCTGTCTTACTCAAGACTGCCATTTCTGTCCTTGAACTGGGTTTCACCCCCAGAAAGCTACTCTACCACTTCCTAATAAAAATCACCTCTCTTTAACACTCCTGTTTCTGAGAAGTACTTTCTTTTAACATGTTCCTTTTCCAGAAAACATAGCAACACCCACCACCACCACCACCAGCCCAGCAGAAAGAGAGTAGGTAAGAAAAGGGAAGTTAAAACAGAGGATATAGGACAGAAAGAGTCTGTCCTCTCTTGCACTCTCTGAAGGAAATCAGAGCTTCCTTCCTCAAACCACCTCAGCCTCTAAACACATGTAGTAAGTACATCTGCTGATCCCAATCTGACCTTAAGACTTTCAAATACTAGGCTAGGGAGATGACTCAGTTGGTAAAATGCTTGCCATGTAAACACGAGGCCCTAAATTCAATCCTAGAATCCATGTTTTTAAAAAAAAAAGTCAAGCATGATAGCACCTGCTGGTAATCCCAGCACAGGGGAGGTAGAGACAGGCCAGCCAGCTTAGCCTGCTTGTTGAGTTCCAGGCCAGTGAGAGATCCCGTCTCAAAAACGAAGGTAGACAGTGCCTGAGGAACAACATCCAAGGTTAATCTCTGGCCTCTACACACATACACCTACCTGCACACCACACACACAGAGACATGGGTCTTCAATATTTAGGGGAGGGGGTACAGCTTGGTGGTAGAAGTCTTTCTGGGCATATGCAAGGTGCTGGTTTAATTACCAGCATCACATCTTGACCCGGTCTGAATTTGGCACAGGTCAAAGAGCACAGGCATCACTGGAAGTCCCAGCATGGGGTGGAATCGTCTTGGCTGTGCCTCTGTACAACTCTGCTCATGATTTGGGCCTAGCTTCCTCCCTTGGGGCAGTGCTGACCTAGATTATGTCCATGGACACTAGGAGGTTGGGGGTGGGGGCGTCTACAGAGGTTACAGCAAGCCGACTACCTCCTGTCTGCCACCCTCAGCGTGGATCCAGGCCTCCCGTGGTAGCCAGCATCCACACCCCCCTCGCAATTTCCAAGTCCACCACATTCTCCCCTGCCAAATGGAAACTTATCCTGTCATACTCACAAAGTCACTGCACCAGAAACAGGAGGAATCCCCACTTGCTAGAGAACAGAAGTACCTAAATTGAGGTATCTCGGGGAGTCTTGGGGGTTGAGAAGCCACTGGAGCCTAGGTGGCAGGCGTGGCCAGGACTCCCCAGCAGGGCCTGGAAGACAGGCGTGGTCAGAAAAGTGGGCTGGGCCTGTGGGCGTGGCCAGGGCTGGCGTCCCACTTTCCCAGGCATGGCAGAGGCTTAGGTGCCTGGAGAGGAGCAAGGCCAGGCACTCACCGTGACGTGGGGATCCTGCCTCAGAGGTGAGTGCCCTGCAGTTGCAGGGGAGCCCTGGGTTCCCCGAGACAGGCGAGCTGGGCGGGGACGTGACTGGCCGGGCTGATAGAGCCAACTTCCCAGAACGCCTCTCTCCTCCTAGGTTGGTCCTGGGCCCTTTCCAGCTCATTTTCCCGCCAGCTGGCCCATCCCTGGAAAGCGCCCTTTGCCATTCGGTGCCGCGAAACTGGGGTCCCTCTACTGTGCTGGGGAGCGAGCAGATCTTGCTTACCCTGTGCCCGAGGAGGCAGGATGCCAGGGAACTCCAGCTTTGACAAGTCACTTGCTTGCCTTGGGAAAGCTGTTCCTGTTGTCAAGCTTCCCACTTTTTCCTTTGTCCCCACCCTGTGGAAGGGGCAGGTGGCCTGGCCTGTCCGGAGTCAGCTTTCTTACAGCCTTCCTTGGAAGGGGGAGAGTGAGGGTCACCATCAATTGGGTTATGGACACCAGAGAAAGTCACTGGCAGTCAAGGCCTTGGACACCCCACCCCAAAGGGACAGGTAGCCGAGCCTGGCGAAGACTAAACAGCATTGGCCTTGAGGTTGTAAAGAAAATCTTTGGCCTATGGCAATTACAGCCAAGACTGTCCTTGAAAAACCACGATCAGAAAGACATTTCCTGAGGCGTGAGGGTGGTTGAGGTCTGCATTGTTGGTGGTTGGTTTGTTGGTGGTTGGTGGTTGGTGGTTGTCTTGAGAGAGGGGATGCCTCCCCAGGAAGGTGGCTGAGGCCTTGGGGAATGGGAATCTGTGATAGCCGCTCCCTCCCAGCTGTGGGTTCGCTGTCTAGTTAGCTAGTGATTGGAATACATCTGGCTAGCACTGGGAACCACAAGCAAGTGGCTTAACCCTGGTGCCCTTTACACACTGTTGCCGAGGGATGACCCATTCCGTCTTGCAGGAGCAGTACTGTCCTACCCAGTGCCTAGAAGAGGGTGTGGATGTTTAGTTGTCTGTGCCAGGTGGAACGATAATGCACCACCACACGTGTGTGGCTTGCTCACTTTTTTCTCCCTTTACTCAGAGGACATGAGCTCTGAGTAGCCTGTCCCAAGACCTCCTGAACTTCTTGACTTTATTTACCTCAAGTTCTGGGGCTGAATACAATGACCAAGTACTCCCTTTGAAGAGGGCTGTAGAAGTTCAGTGAGGCAAAATGCTAGGTCTTCCAGTTGCTACATTGGGGTAGAATTCCAGGGGTGTCCCAGAGGAGGGGTCCAGGCCAAACCTAATTACCTGGTGGCACAAAAACAGTCTCTTAACAATCAGGGTTACTCGGCTCATGCATGTGGGCTTAACTGTCATCCTGGAAGATCCTTCCATCCTAAATGATGGCCCAGGATCACCCCCTGTAACCTTTATAACTCCGAGCAAAGCAAGAAAAGCTTTCTGATTGCACTGTGTGGCTGGGAAGCTAATCTTGCCGCTTTTTAGTTTCATTTGAGGTGGGAAGACCTCTCCTGGGGCTGGTGTCTCCAGCATAAAGCCTTCTTTGTTGATTTCCCTGCATCCCAAGGTTTAAAACTGTGATGAGGGTGAAGCCATATGTGTTTGTTTCCTTCTTATTTTGTGGAGAAGAATGCAGAGGGTGGATCCACATCTGCAGTCAGATGTCCAGGCTCCAGGGGACTCCAGCCCTGGTTTTACTGTCTTCTGCTGCCTGAGCCTCAGCCTATGGTGTGCTCAGCTCTGTGGGACAGAGACAGGGTTGAGGCTGGGCTCCCACTGTTCTAAATACTCCAGCTGCATGTGGGAAGAGAGCACCTGCACCTGTGAGATAATTAGAGCATACTTAAGACACAATCATATGGTATCGTCTGCTAACTCCAAGAAACAGCGCATAGGCCAGAAGGCAAAGAACACTTGCAGGAACTGGCTGTTCTGAAGCTCAGCTTAGAAACCACAGTAAAAGAGCAGGCCAGGCAGAAGGACAACACGGAGCGCTCTGATAGGCACTTGCTACCTGCCTCCCTTTGCAGTCCCAGCTTCTCTCTCTCTCTTTCTCTCTCTCTCTCTCTCTCTCCCCATGGACCCACCCTGTCACACTGGCCTTCCCTCAGGGCTCTGACCATGCCTTCTTTTCCTGCTTTCCCACTTTATGCTGCTCTGCTATGCTTAGAATGCTCTGGAAAATCTAGTTTTCTTTAGGGGACTGGGTCTTACTATGTAACTCAGGCTGTCCTGGAACACTCAGTGTATCCCAGGCTGACCTTAAATTCCCCATCTTCCTATCTCAGTCTCCCAAGTGCTGGGGTTACAGGCAAGCGGCACTATGCCTAGCCCCCCCTCCCACCAGTGCTTTGAATCAAAACCAAGGCTGTAAATATACTAGGCAAGTGCTTTGCCATAGGGCTGCGTTTTTGTTTTTTGCTTGTTTGTGTAGCTGATTGGTTTTTTGTTTGTTGTTTTGTTGTTTGTTGATTGCAATGCTAGAAATTGAACCCAGGACCTCACACACTTGGCATGTGTTCTACCAGAGTTATAGGCCCAGCCCCTTTCTACATTAAAAATCTCTCTCTCTCTCTCTCTCTCTCTCTCTCTCTCTCTCTCTCTCTGTGTGTGTGTGTGTTATGTGAGTATGGATGCACTCATGCTAAGGTGCATGTGTTGAGGTCAGAGGACAACTTTCAGAAGCTGATTCTCTGCTTCTACCTTGTTGAGGCCAGGTCCTCTTGTTTCTGCTATGCTGTGTACCAGGCCAGCTGGCCCGTGAGCTTTGGGGTGATTCTTTCATCTCAGCCTCCTATCTTGCCATAGAGGTGCTGGGATTACAGGTACACAGTATGGCATCAGGCTTTTTTAGTGTGGGTCTGGGATTGAACTCAGGTCCTCAGGCTTGTGTGCCAAATGCTTTAACCCACTGAACCATTTCTCTGATCCCTTTCTACATTTTTTTTTTTTTTTGGTCTTTTTGAGACAGGGCCTCCCTGTAGCCCCAGCTGTCCTGGAACTTACTATGTAGACCAGGCTGGCCTTGATTGCTTCTTGGCCTTTTCGCTAACACCAAGTGTAGTATTGCTTCTTGGCCTTTCTACATTTTTAAATATCAGATCATATCTTTTCTAGTGAGTTCCCTAGACGGCCCCTAGTCTGTGAGTGGAGTTGGCGAGTTCCTTCCTTGTGTCCCATTGCTCCTAGAATGAGCATCTGTTGAAACTCTAGCACCCTAATCGCCCTTAGGCATTGAGGGGTCTTTGCTCCACTCCCTGAGGCAGGCTGTCTCATCTTGGGATCCTCTGAGCCACCATTGCAGTCTGGCATTTAGGGGGATGTGATAAATGGTAAATTGAGAGTCAGGAGACAGAGAGAATAAAGCACCTCACCTACTTGGAGCAAAAGGTGTGGTTTGTTGGGAATCAAGTTTCGATAAATTAGGCAGAGACCTTACATTGGAGTTTAATGCTGTGCTGGTGTCAAACCCCTCAATGTCCTCTGCTGCCCTCGGAATGAAATTCTAGTCTCTTAATCTGGTCTCAGTGGAACCGCTCTAGCACCATCTCCTACCACCTTCCACTTGGAACTCAAATTTTGAACTTCTGAGTCACCTCAGTTCCAGAAAACACCCCAACTTAGACTCTGTCTTCCCTTGACCAGGCTGCTTGGCAGCCTGTGCCAGGAATGCACACAGCTATCCCTAGACGACTCTCAGTCCTCAGGAGTCCAGGTCCATACCCCCTGTGTGCAGGGGTGCCCTCTGACAGCATTGATTACACACTCTTACAGCTGCCAGTAACTTGACTGTCCCTTGATCTTGATTGTTGACTCTCTGAAGCCAATGAAGGGGTTACCTTTGATGCAGTTCCTGGGAGATGGTCCCCCCAAAATGTGCATTGGACAGAAGACTGTGTGATGAAAATGTAAAAGGAAGCACAGATCCGAAGATGTTTGCAAGGGGGACATAGGAATTGGTGAGTAGTCTATGAAGTCAAGGACAGAGTTGGTTTGCAACCTATGAGACAGACAGAGGTGGTCCCCCACAGGGGTTAGATGCCCAGCCTGGGGAGAAGTCCAAGTACTGTGCAAAAATGCTTTTGTTTTTGGAGGATTTTCAAAATTTGAAATACTAAATTACTTTGGACATATTGAATCTGACGTTATAAGAGGCTATCCTATGAGGAGAACCAGCACATAAACGTTTTGAGACCAGGTGAGTTCAAGGCCAGAGAGAGAGAGAAATCATGCAGAGAGGATAGGCATGGTCCAACCAACCTGTGAAAGGAAATGTGGTCACTGAGGGAAGACAACTAGAGAACAGCGTCTTGTGGGGAAAGCTGCAGCCAGAGGATAGGAAAAGGAACTAGAGGAAAATAAAGTGGCGGAAGGATCAGCAGAGAGGAAAGAGAGGAGAGAGTCCAGGAGAAAGGTGGTCAAAGCTGCCTGATGCTAGAACAAGTAAGAAAAACAAAATAAACAAAACAAAGAGGGTCAAAAGACCAAGTAGGAGATGGACTTCCAGAGGCTCCAATTCAGGTGCAGTAGTGGATGCACTTGGGAGGCTGAGGCAGGAGGATTGCCAGCCTGCATTATAGAACAAGATCCTATCTCAAAAAAAATTTTTTGACTGGTTGTTTTGGCTTATACTGTTGATCCCAGCAATTGGGAAGTAGAAGCAGGCCGATCTCTGTGAGTTCAAGGCCAGCTTGGTCTACATAGTGAGTTCCATTTTTTTAATAATCTTTCTTTTAAAAGGGTCACTCCTATAGGAAATCCAGGGATTAAAGGGTTAAAAAGAGGCTACTCGATGGACAAGGGAAACACTGGGTGGAGCCCTCAGACTTCATGTCTGAGGAATTTGGCCATGAAAATAAAGGATAGATTAATTCTGAGATAGGAGGAGTAGTCAGGTCAAGAGAGTATCTATTCTATGATGAGGGAGAGCTGACAGGGTTTGCATAGGGGACAGGGGAGGCCATTTATACTAAAAGAATACAGATAAGTGTCCTTGATTATATTGATTTTTATCTCATTTGACCTTCCCTTCCTCTCTCG